ATTATATATATTAATATTAAATATATTAAATATTATTAAATATAGTAAAGATAAGTAAAGATAAAAAAAACAAAAAACAATTATATATATCTTTATTTTGTAAAATCATAAGTATTATGAGATATTAATAGATGCATAGTTAATAAAAACGATCAAAATTTTTTAAATGGATCTTAAAAACATTAAATTTCATATTTTTAGATATTAAATAAATAAATCGAAGTAAGATCAATTTCTTAGATAATACAAAATAAATTAGTTTTTGATTATCATAATGAAAACTTAAAAATAAAAAATAACAATTTTCTATCCCCAACAAGTTTCTATCATAGTATATATAAGTATGAAAATTAGATAATTACTTTATTTCAATCCTTTGTTAGAAATTAATAATATATGTATAAATGTTTCCTTTTTTTAAATAATTATTTTGTGAATAATACGCAAATTTAGTAATCTACAACTGCAATAAATAATAAATAATAATATTAATTACGAAAAAATTGATACGAGAATTGCTTGATAAAATTATCTCGGAATTAATATAAAACCGAAAAAATAATAGATATAAAGCTGATATTAGAAAATAATTGTTATTTTTTCTTTATTTTTATTAATTATTAATAACTAATTATATATTTTAATAACTAAAATAAAAACCATAATCGAAATCGATATTGATTAAAATATTTTTTCATAACAATTATAGATAGAGATTTTTAATAATTGTTTTACAAATTGATATGCATAATAGTTTTCCATTCTTGATTTTACATCGATTTTGGTTCTAAAATCAACTTTATAACGATTTTTATATCATTTTTTATTTTATATTATATTTATGATTGATTTTTTTTTTATTTATTACAGTCATAAATTATTATATATGTATATATTTTGTAAAAAATATATTATAGATAATTATAGAAGAAGAAAAAACATTTACATATATATATTATATCATTGATTTCTAAATTTCTGATAAAGCAAAATATGAAAAAAATAGTTTGTTTTTCACATTTATATATATATTATTTAAGATAAAAAATTATACATTATAAAATTATACAAAATTATATTATTTAATAAATAGAATTTTTAATTTTTTTTTAAATTAAATAATATTTTATATATTATAATTAA